GACTATCGTATCTATCTATCTATCTATCTATCTATCTATCTACTTATTATATATAATCTATATCTATTCTTACTATCTACTATATAAATAAAAATATCAAATATCACTCTTATATTAAGGTCTATATATCGCTAAATGATATAGTCAATAAGAAACAAAGTTGATGAGGAATAACGAACTCATGAGTATATAACTTGATAATGATGATAATTTTTTAATAATAATTAATTCCTATAATGGGATGACTATATATAATATGATATATACTCTATTTCTACAATAATAATATAAATTAGTATTGTATTTTGATTTTTAATCTATCATAATAGAGTATATTTATTGGTGCAATATAACATGCACAGTGTATAGATTTATTTGATATGACTATTATCATGACATCTGCAAAAGCTGAAACGACAGCCGACATGCCTTTAAAAACTAAAAGCTAGGCTGCTAATTCATTGTATAAAACATCAAACATTCATATTATCTAATTCTATATACTAACATTATATATATAGTCAATCCCACTTAGGATTTAATATATGGGAACTACTCATTAAATCAATTAATTCTAAATTAATCACACACCAAAAATATTATGCTACACCCATGATTTTTTTACCGTCCCTCGTTTCGTTAAATGGTACTAAATTCATTTGCTGATTTCCTCATTCATTCCTCACTTGTTAGTTGTTTAGATTGTAAAAAAAGTCGTTTACCGTGTTATTTCTTTAGTTCTATTATGAGTATTTAGGTAAAAGGTCATTTCAAACATAAGAATGATATAATTGTATAGTTAAAACATAAAATAGTGAACATTAACTATGTAGAGATGGCGTTTATCTCATTCTCAGAACACAGACTAAATGAACTATTCACAAATTTTATAGTATATTAGATATGGACTGAATATAACATGCAAGTTGGAAGCACTTCGCCTTTTTTACATAATGTATTAACAAATAGTAATGAAAAAGAAGAGACATGAAAGGCAAGAAAAAATTCTTAAGAATCTGGCCCAAACCATTTATTCTATGCTATAGATAATATATCAGGCTTATTAAAGGCTGCAATACCTAATAAGGTGAAGTATAAAAACTCAGTAGAATCGGACAAAACCATCTTTTATGTTATATATCCAGTCATCAATAGGATAAGATATTCCGTACTGAGCTTTACTTATAATAAAAAAAAAAAATAAAATAAGTAAATGAAGTTGATATATAGAAACTTGCATAAATACAATTAAAATAAGGCAAATAGAGGTCACAGCTATTCAGCTGTATATGTAAAATAAGCTGGACTATAGCTTATTTAATACATAACTTACTGCTTTCATGCCAAACTCTATGCGGAACAGTTATCACCCATAGACTTACCTTGTTCATGTTTATCTTTTTATCTGCATCCCAGCAATGCTGTGTAAAGACAGCGTTGGAGCATTCCGGATGCTCTGCAGAATCTAGTTGACATCAGCTGGCTTGGAACATGAAAATATCAATTGACTGCTGTAATCCAAGTGTTAATCTATATATTTATATTACTCATTAACTTTCTGATTACCCAACCCAACTGGTAATTGTATGTATATCTATTAGATATGAATGACATGTTATTAACCATTGTCAAGATAGATAAATCATCATATCACTAGAATATCTATTATATTCGACACCCAGTTGAGTAATTCATTATTACATATAACTTATATTATTTCGCTCTATCATTTGGATAAACACAAGTAATATTTTAAAAAAACGATAATTTTGACTACCTTCACCTAAAAAATGCTCCTCACATAATAACAGATCCTACTGTAGCTATGCATGTTAATGTAGGCATGTCGTGAATTAGTAAAGTGCGATATGAGAGAATCACTGATGAATACCACAGGACTACAAATCTTCTTATTAAATAGGAGGTTATATCACATCACCCCTCATCTATTTCTATGCCTTCCACCCACCTCTTTCCTCGATTTTTTTTTACTCTTCTAACGTTATTTTTTCTACTATTCACGCAACCTTTATTTATTGCAGGGTCCAAATCTAGTGAATCGAGTCAACAACAACCTTAATATAGCGCTCTCATAACAAAACTAGCTGATGCCATATCATTATACTCATGAGCTGAGATCATTGTCTTAAATTTCAAAGATCCTTACTATTCTATTAATTTTTCCTATTTGATTTATACTAGATCTATTTGAATTGCATGTACTCCAGTATTGGTATTGTGATTATTAGATGAATATTTATTTCCACATAAAATTTTATATTCTTAACGTTTCATAATTATCTTTATGTGTATGTCAGGTCTAGAATGCTTACTTACATAATAATATTATCTTTATCTTCATATTTGAAAGATCACATCTCACTATGTGGTTAGTAAATGCAATTAGTTGTAACACTGTATTGATATTGCTGTTCTCTAGTTATAGTTAGAATGGGATCATTGTAAATTTGGGTTGTTATATTTTTAAATGTCAGATTATGTATACATGCAGTGATGATTATGACTCTGACATTGCAAGTACGACGACATTGCTTTAAACATAAAGTGTGATTTATTTTTTGTTGAAACACAATCATAAACTCTTTATTTGTTATGTGATCTATCTATCTATCTATCTCTTGTGTATTAAAAGTTACATATTTAGGAAGGACTCACACTTTCAGTACTATTCTAACAAAAGGAACATTTTATGAAGAGTGGTAGAAAATGTTGTCGTATAGAAAGCCAATTGAAGAGAAATACTTGTCCACTCTTCAGAATTGGCCACCACAGCACCAGTGACGACAGCTCCGCCTACCGTTCGGTGGACGAGGTGAACTACTGGGACAAGCAGGACCATCCCATCTCCAGGCTGAGACATTACATGACGGCCCGCAGCTGGTGGAGCGAGGACGACGAGAGGAGCTGGCGGAAGCAGTCCCGCAAGATGGTGATGGAGGCGTTCGAGAGGGCCGAGAAACGCCAGAAGCCCAATCTCGAACTGCTGTTTACTGACGTGTACCAGGAGATGTCGCCCAATCTGATCAAGCAGAGAGAATCCATGTGGAGGCACGTGCAGCAGTACAAAGAGCACTACCCACTTGACCTGTATGATAAATAACTGCGCCGCCAGGGATGGAACGAGTTTGGTGAACAAATGATGTAGTGGGTAAAGATTGAGACTTGGGGTAAACTGTTGGACACCTTTTACTGTATTCATAAAAGTATAGTTTTGATATGATGTGTCATTTTCTTTCTGCACAACAGAGGGAGAAGGAGAACAATTGTGCTTTTGAAAAACACTGTACTTCTGGGTTTGGTGCCTTACGTTAATAGATTTACATGCTGTCAGTAGTAAAGCTTCTCTGTACCTTCTCTTGTTTCACAGCAATTCCAAGATGTTGTTTTTTAAGTGGAGCAAAAAAATAAAACATCTGCTGCAGTTGGAAAGCATTATGCATAAAGAAATCAAACACAAATCAAGCAATAAACGGTGGAAGTTAACCTCTGTTGTGTTTGCTCCCTTGCTTGTGACTGTCCTCTACAGTGATTGTGGTATTTAACAGGTTTCCTTGTGTATCATTGAGGTGACTGAATTAACTTGTGTTAAAGAACTTTGTTATTTTAATGTAGTTTTTAGTGTACACACCCACATTTTAAATGGGTTTGTATGCTGTTACACACTATTTCTGAATCCCAGAACTGTACACCCATCTAGCTCATGTTACATGTTTGGTGTTGTGTAGAAAATAAACTATTGAACTTTCAGTTGTCTTTTTGGATTATTTATTTAAATTAAATAGGAAAATGGGAGTTTGGGGATGGAGACACGGAACTAAACTGTGTTCAGTTTGACGGAAAGAGTCCCCTGTTTATCCAGGGATGAAAATATATTTGTCATTACAACCAGTCTTTCATAACTTCAAAACTTGCCTCAGTGGAAGGTTTCCGTCTGTTAAAGGTCAACCGTATTAAAAAAACCCCCTAATTTACAATTCTTCCTGCTGCAAACAGAAACAAAAACAATGAAAAGGACAAAGAGGAACGCAGATAAACTGTGGCTTCACTATGTCGCTTCACTATGTCGCTGCAGTCAGTGGTGACTCTTTCATTGCTGCATCTTTTGGCCACCAGTCCTGTTCAGCAACTCAACAACGGGCTGTGAATGCCTCTCCACAGCTTCTTCACCTGCTGTGGAGATCGCTGATGGATGAGAATAAGATCTTTATGTACGCACAGATTCTCACGGTCCTGCTCCTTGACATCAAAGGTCTGAAAACCGGCGTGCGCCTCGGGAGAAACTCCCATAGCATTGGTGCACATCCCGGTGTAGACGTCGTCGATGGGGAAGAAGGGTATGACGTGTGAAACTGAATACAGGGGTTGCAGCAACGCTCCCGAGATAAGGAAACCGCCTCCACCAGCGTAAGCAGGGTACGGGCCGTCGTAGAAGCTCAGAGGAATGTAGTACTTGCTTTTCGGGTCCCTGAGAGGATTCGCTGTGCTTATGACGTGTCCGACATACAACTTAGAGGCCTTCGAGGGCTCCAGAGACTGCAGGTAGCTGAGCAACGCCGGTGTATTTACAAACACATCATCATCCCCACTAAAGACGAAGGAGACGTGTGGGCAGCGTCTCAGCGTCCACTGGAGGAACATGTTCATTTTGAGCGTAAGGTTCAAGAGGGATTCGTGGAAGTCCCACTGCAGGAGGTCCCCAAAGCGCCTCGCTTCAAACGCCAACAGTGGGTTGAGGTTGGGGTCGTCCAGCTGGGAGCTACCCAGGAGAAACAGTGTGTGTACTCTCAGTCCACCCTGATACACCCCCTCTTGCCCCCAGGTCTCCCGCACCGCCTGTCTCCGCTCAAAGTTTCCAGGAGTCGACTTGATGGCGAAGAGCAGGACGGTGTGGTTGTCCCCTTTGGTGGAGACGCACTTGTCGGGCTGATTGATCAGGACCGGAGGGGACCTGCAGTTCATGACTTGCAAGAAGTCCTGGAACAAGACAGGGTAGGATGTGAAGTCGTGCACGTTGGTTTGTAGAAGCTCTTGATTCGTCTCCCGGCAACGAGACCAGTTGGAGTTACTGACAGTATTTCCTCTCTTGTTCAGGTTCCTGAGGGCCGAGTACAGCAGGCGGTTCCAGTAGGCTCTGTTCTGAGAGATTATCTGTCTGAAGCTGTCAGAAACAGACACGTTGTGGACGACAGGATGAGGCGCGGCGTCGCTCTCCTGCTTCGAGCTTTGGGTTTTCACATCACCGTCACTGTGGACCGGGAGCCTCGGACGCCTCAGGACGTCCTCTGGTCCCGCCTTGTGGCTGTAGGTCGTCTCTAGATGAAGGGTCGAGTAAAAAAAAATCAGAAATAAAGTAACGAGGAGAGCCATAGCAGTGATGGTTCGAATCCGTCTCATTGGCTCGAGGTAAGTAAACCAAGCTGTGTGGTGTGTTGTTCCTAGAGATGGATCCTGTTTCGAGCGGTAATGGTCCTGGAACCTGGTGGGTTATTGTCCTCAGGTTACAGAGACTCTGCCAGCAGGTGAGACACTGGATGTACCTGCCAACAGTAAACACACACAGGTGACACCTTAATGTACATCAACGCATCAGAAACTTTACATCTGTGACTTGAACCTCAATGGAAATGAACAATTTGCATATCAGCAACTCTTTTCTTATCTTAAGTGTTATATTTATATTTAATGCAAATTGTCTTAAA